ATCCATCCATCCATCCATCCATCCATCCATCCATCCATCCATCCAGGTAGACAGCTAGAATGAATGTCTTCAGACTTCTGTTCAACCCCTTTTCAGGGCTCATGAGCTATTTTTACTTTAGAGACTACAAGTTGTATATAGATGGCAAATATTGAACTGTTTGCATTAAGGATAATTAGAACTTAAATATAACCATTTATAATAATCTCAGCTGGTAGTATTACCTATCAACCTTATCTGAGCTCTGAAGCAGGATTGGATGTGCTTAGTATTTGTATGGGTGACTATCAGAGAGCCCAGGACGGAATATGAAAAGGCATCCTGGAAACAGATCCTGGAAACCACTGCCAAGAAAACTTCAAAGATGGATTCATGTATTCTCCAGGTATCAAGCTTGACATAGGACTGCATTTTGCAACAACAAACAAAGGCAACAGCCACAATAATATTGTATGATAATTTTTTAAATAAGCTCCCAAAAGGGACAGTAATACACCACAGACACTATATACACCTTCTATCTGATTGTCTATCTTCACAATAATGATACGTTGGCTAAAGATATCCAACAAGCTTGACATAACTCAGCCTTGAAAGCATAAGGGTGCCACATTATTCAGAAGGGTAGTGTGCCTTTGTGGAAGGTTGACTCTGGCTACCTCTGGGTGTGCAGGGACAAAAAGGTTAAGTCATAGTGCTGTGCTCCAGCCTTTCAGCTCATTCAACTCTCCAGACTGCAACACCATCTCCTCAACCTAAGGCATGGTCCCCATCTTCCCAGCAAAGCACGGTCTTTGTGACAGGGCCAGGGGTGCCCACATGTGAAAAACAGGCAGAGCTTCGATTGCACATCATGGCTGCTATCTGACTTTTCTGACCATACCCTACCAACACCCTGGTAAGAGCCCATTCTCTTGTCTTGTCTGTCCTCTCACTGCTTGCCTGGGTCTCCAGTTCCTTCAACTTTTTCTGAAACAGTAGTTCCTGATCAATTGTATTTTAACTTTGTTTTAACTTCTTTTGTCTCCCTTTTGTATCTGCTTCCACATCACAGTTTCTATAATTCCTCTTTAGTGAGAGTGAGTGAAGCCCCCGTGGAGTCTTTTTTATGTTCTAGTCTGTTTTTTGTCATCTTGCTGTCTTTATTCCTTATTTTTTTGTTTCTGATTGTATCCTTTTTAAAACGTTTTTATTTGTGAGCCGCCCAGAGACACTGGGAGCCAGGTGGCACACACATTTAATAAACAAACAAACATAGTTTAAAATAATAGCTTAAAACCTCAATATTTAAGGGAATCTCCCCCCCCCCAATATATATGCATGAAATTAAAGGTATACTAGGAGAAGGGGGTTAGTTTGTCTTTCTATTGTGTTTATGGGCAGTAATGTATTATGAGTTCCTCTGGCTATAAATATGTAAAGTAATACAATTACCGAAATTCATGGTGCAATGGAATATGTGTGACAGTAAGGGAAGGAAAGCTTCTTTGTTTCAGGAATTGTGAACTTATCCTAACATTTGTAATCCAGGGAGAAACTCATTGCTAGATGGTCTATTATGGTAACCAAGGAAGAGTGAAGATTTTCATTTGATTTACATGCTTCCAGCCTACCCCACAGAATCTAAAGAAGCATTCCAGCCGAACAGACAGATCAGGCTTTTTGTAAAATGGAATAGAATTGTAATATGTAATATAGTTACACCTCAGCTGTATGGCCATTTGGCAGATCTGGATGCAAGAGATAAAATTTGAGTTTGGACATCACTCACAGTTAATGACAAAGCCCACTGTTTCTGATGCGCTCTAGAGAAGTGACATAATTGGTGGCATTTATCTCAGAATCAGAATCTTTACTGCTTTCAATAACCTGTCTATAAAACACTTGGATACATAACACTGAAATTGATTAAGTTAACAAGTTAGCTAATTAAGTAACAGATTTGTCAATCAAACTTCTGTACAGATTACATATTACATGACAGAATTTGGCTACACTTATGGAATTAGAGATATCTGAATCCTAGAGTAAAAGATTTAAATAGAACTAATCAGAGTGACCAGGATATTTAATTAGTTGTGGAATTAGTAGCTTTTATGTATTAGTGTGTTTGTGTCTATAGATGTATTTGTGTGTATGCGTGAATATTACATGTATGTGCTAATTATAATTCACATTTCACATATTCTAACAGCCACCATACATGATAAGCAATCACTCATTTATGTTCTATGCTTCCTGAAAACATATGGGTTTGACATTTTGTAGTGATCAACAATTACTTACTCCAGAAACTATATTAATTTTGTCTATTCTAAAAGGTAACAGTTGTTCCTATTAAGTTTGCAGTCAGAAGGTGTTTCCTTGTGGAATAATCCACGCCACTTGGGCTGCTTATAAATCTAACTTTATATCAATTTACATCATTTACATAATTACATCATTTGTTATGCAAATGACATAAATTGCCACCAGTGATGTAAATTACATAATGATGCAAATGATATAAATTATATGATTATGTAAATTCAGATTTAACCAATATTCAGGTTGAACACATATTCCTTTCCTCCCAAATGGTCTGCTAAATCAAGGTTTTATCACACTTCATTTTCATCTTGCCCATAGATTGTTCAGAATTCTTTTTGTTGTACTATTTTATATAATTATGGCAGTATGATCTGAATGGATTGGATTGGATTCACTTGTTTATTTAATTTAGGGATCCTGCATGAAGCAAGTTCTTCAGAATCAACTGGAAATAAATAAATAAACCTTAATTACTGCTTGTTACTTAAGCAAATAAAGTTGCTGTGTGGAAACACATTATATTCCAAACAATGATCCATAAAAGAAAGAAAGAAAGAAAGAAAGAAAGAAAGAAAGAAAGAAAGAAAGAAAGAAAGAAAGAAAGAAAGAAAATAAATATTAGTAGTAACAATATGAATAACAAAACTCACCTCATTCACTGCGACATAGTATTGTTCTTGCTGGAACTGGGGAGAGTTGTCATTTCTATCCCTTACCACGATCCGAACTTCATGGTAGATAACAGTTCCTACTTTCCGATTAATGCATTGGACTTGGACCACAATAGATTGAATGGACACTGGTGGCTGTAGAGCAGAAAAAAATAAAATCATAAGTACTTTTAAGTAGCATCTGTATCTTTGGAGTAGGTATCTAATTTCATCATGAGGAGTAAAGCCCATTAGTTAATTGAGCTTGTTCCCAGATCAGTGTATGTAGGCTTGTAGTTTGTAACAGTAACGCTTGGCATCTGTTATGTGTCTTAATCATAGTATATATCAGATATAAGTATTGTACCCCACCTTATATTATATACCTATACAACATTTTATAATATAAGATAATTGCTACATTACAACAGTTCAGAAGCTGTAGGCTAGATCCAGATAAATGTCAAAGTCACATTTTGCTTTTAAAGAATCTGAGTGAGTTTAATCTGTCTTCTGTTTCATGAAAAACTTACTAATTATATCAGAATGCAAACTGGACTTATATCCATTGATGCTAAATATTACAGGAATTAATAGAAGAGAATATGTGTAGCTTAGGGTTGAACTGTGGACTCCTTGGGGTTCTCTGAGCTTGGTTGTTTTGTTGCAAACATTTCCTTACCCATCTAGGTAACTGAAGATGTTACCTAGCCAGGTAACAAAACATTTGCAGGAAAACAACCACGTTCAGAGAACCCCAAGGAGTCCACATTACAGGAATTGGAAAAAAACAAACAAACTAAGCTTAGAACTTGGGTAGGACATTATGGGAAATCCCGGGGCTGTAGGCTAGGCTGGAAAATTGTGTGTGTGTGAGGGGGGGAGACACCCCAGAAGAAGGCTGCTCAGCCAAAAAGAGTATTTATCTTTCACTACATCATATGACGTAATGAATGTGTGTTGGGAGTCTTGAAATTTGCTAGGAAAACAAGCCTGTTATTTGGTTGTGAAGCCTAACTAGACAGCTACTAGATATATTCATGAATGTGAAACCCCTCTCTTGTTTTTAATATGGCACAATGTTGCCCCTAAAGCATCTGATAAACTGACTCATGCTAAGAGGTCTGAAAAAAATGAAATTTGACTGTTCTTTCCCGCCAAAAGCCTTCTTATATAACCCTACTTACATAATGGTACAATTGGTGAAAACTAGACTGCATTTTGATTATTCTGTCAAGCATTGTTAAGAACATCGATTTAGCCATGAGATAATTTCTGATTTCTGGGTATACCCTAGATATCAGAAAGGGAACTTTCAGCATGACCTAACCAAAAAAAAAAAAAATCAGTCTTTCCCAAAAGACTGGCTTTCCTTTGTCTTCTACAGTCTATAAATCTGAAATCATGCTCAGAAAAAAAGAGAGAAGGCATATGGAAGGTCTGCCTATCAGTATTGAAGCAGGAAGGCAAGTGGTATCTCTCCTTGGCTGGACTGATTATATTAATTTTACAGTAAAATCTAGTTTTTGTAGATCATGAGTCAGTGGATTTAATGAACATAAATAGAATTCAGACCCTACCCAGTCAGTGAATAAGAGTCTGTTGTTTGGCAAAGGAGTAAAACAATTCTATGCATATGTAAGCATTGTAGCACTGTAATGCATGGGGTACTGTGTGTTTTCACTTTTGCTGAGATTTGGAATACTATTTATTGTAAGATTTTTTTGTGAATCTATTGCTTATACAATAGTTAATGACTCATGGCTTCAAGGGGAGGGTGGTTAAAAAAAGAAAGAGTAAATTTCAATGTAAAACAATAGAGTTGATTAGCCAATAGAAGAGAATATAGATCAGTACTGCCTTCTACACATGTATAAGAAGAGTATGGTGCAAAGAAACAAACCATGTCAGTTATTTGTTCAACTTAAGAAATAAGTATGTATATATTCTTTATGATGGAATTTCAGTTAAAAAGCTGAAATTGTGGCAAGAAAAAATAATGGCCACAGGAACAGCACTCAGTAATGTGTGCACCAGAAACCTCCATGGAGGTTTCCATGAAACAGTCCTGAAATGGTGTGTTAAGCCATTTATAAGGTGTTAACATACACATAGTAGACTGACCATGTGAAAATAAGTTTTAAAGCAAGTGATGGATGGCTTTGGTGATTTTATAAATGGCATGGAATCATTAACAAACAAATTGTCAATAAATCATTGAATATGGAGAAGCAATGGAGACTTGCAGGGAAAGTTTAAACAAACTAATCTAGGACGAAGGCATCATACTGTCAAAATTTACAATGCAGAAGAGACTGGTTTGTTCTAACATTAGATTCTTGAGAACACTCCGGCATTTAGATGTAAAAAATCAACAGGACGTAGATAGGCATGAAATGGGTCTCATTGTTACTTTGTGTAAATGCCACTGCATTGCATAGATTAACGTCAGTCATTGTTGCCAAGTCACATTATTCAGAAATGTTAAAAGGCATTATGCATCAACTGCCAGCATGGATTCACAGAAGATATGGTCTATGTCAACACTTTTTCAGGAGCAGTTCTTCAATCACTTTGTTCCAGAAGTCAGAAGAATTCCAAATGAGATGCTGAAACTATGTTTCTGCTCATTATTTGGAAAATAATGTGCATACAAGATGGAACATTTAAGTGTGCATTTTGTCCAAAAATACAATATAGTCATTCAGCCTTGAACCAGGGCGGCATTCCACCAACGAAAAGACTTTATACAAAGACATTTTTTGAGGAGGTGAACTAATAGTTGGTTGTGTTGGAGGACAAATCTGATAAGGAAAGTGACACAAGATGGCCGTAAACACTTCAGAATGTATAACTTTAAGCCATCAATCTTCACTTTGCTACAGCTTGGAAATGAGTCAAAATTTCAATATTGCAGCTGGATAGCCAAATTGCTTTGCAACATTGACATAGACTCATAGTTTGTTTATTAATATTTATAAGGCTACCCAACTCAACATGTGTGACTCTGGGCAGTGTACAGCATTAAAAACAAAAACAAAAAACCAATAACCCCCCTCAAGAAAAAAAATCCACCCCCCACATCATATACTGTAACATTCAACATATACAATATATAGATGTAAAATACAAAATATAAAATATAAATATAGTTTGAGGGATCTGAAGTCAGTTATTACTACAGCATCATACAGAAAACTGGGAAAGAGGGAGAAAATGAGGACAACACTTTGCAGTGGCTAGAGGAAGATGGATTCCAGGTTTTGACAGAAAGTGAGATAGCCATAGAGGCTACTGCTGGAAGTTGAGAGCAATGAAGGAAAACTGACTAGTCCCCAGTCAATCTGTCCATGTTGAAATCACATCTGATGGTCATAAAGTCTAGCCTTATTATTCTTCCTTCCAAGTTTTTAGAGGGAGAATCATATAGAAGCAGCACACTTCCAAGATTCAGTTAAAACCAAGCAGACATCCAGTATCAACATCATGACAAAATCCTGCACCTCCACAGCAGATGATTCCCATTCATTCCAATAGAAGAGAATATATGTAAGTCAGGGTTGAACTATGGAGTCTTTGGTGCTCTCTGAGTTTGGTTGTTTGCTTGTAGTTGTTTCATTACCCAACTAGGTAACATCATCAGTGCCTTTCCTGTGTTCTTCTGGTCTGTGGTATGATTGTCTATGTTATGTTTTATTGGGTCTCTGTGGCAAGTCCTGTGGTTTTAAATGCTGCTTCTAAGGCTGCAAAGAATCCTGATTAGCTTCATCTATGTTATAGTTGAGACCTTTCTGGAGAATATTGTGTTCTGCAGTGGATAGTGGATAGTGGACAGTTGGACATGTTGACTACCCATTTGGGTACCTCTTTGTTTCTGGGGTATAGCTGGAGCAGTTTGGTTGGAGTTTGGTTTTCCTTTTTCCAGCTTGTCTTAGAGATATAGTCGTGATGGTGGTTGTCAGAATTTTTGTGTGTTCTGGGGTCATGGTTCATTCCAGTTGCTCCTTGAGGTTATCTATGGTGTGCTGGTATTTGTTTAATCTGAGGTGAACATCCACGATCATTAACTGTATCATTTTTTGGCCCCTTTGTTCAGCTATTTTCCATCCAGATGGGCAGTTTATTGGAGGTTGTATCTGATGCTGGTGGGCAGGGTATGCTGTCATGGGCATTCATGCAGATAGAATAGTTGTTCTTTGGTGGAGGTTTGCATACATGCAAATTTCTCCCAGTTGTGTGCTTTCTGAAGCATTTGATACCCATATATGGTTTTAATAGAAAACAATATCTGTAGCTTGGGGTTGAACTGTGGAGTCCTTGGTGCTCTCTGAGCTTGGCTGTTTGTTTGCAGATGTTTCATTCCCCTACTAGGTAACATCATCATCAGAGAGCACCAAGGACTCCACAATTCCAATTCCTCTTTTAACAGGTATTTGGCTTTAATGGACACCCCTTCTCCCCCAAATAGATTTACAGTCTTTGGAATCCTGGGACTGTTGGCTTCCCTTGTTTCCCTATATTTCTGAATAAACTCTTTTTTATAGCCAAAGATTCGGTGGCATTCCTCATTAAGAACTCCCCCACATGCAAGACTGCATAGCTGCACAGCTGCCTCTTACATTTCAGGAGCAGCAACAGGTTTATTAAAGTCTGTACTTAGCCAGGAAATTCCAACCCACCTTCCTTTCTATTTTACTATGGCTGGTAGAAGAGTTAAGAATTTCCCAGCTAGAGAGACTGGGGTGGCAGGGGGTGGGGGGTGGGGAGGAGCCGAGGAGGTTCAGTTTCAGTGGTTGCAGCCTGTTATAAGTATTTTTTTCCCCAAAACTGAGGAATTTCGGAATTTGTAATCTTCCAACAAAATTTAAAATTATTTCCTTTCCTGGTTTATAACAAAGAGGCATCACGACTTAGCACAATGTGTGAATTAGGCCATGATCTCTTCTCTTTCTGTGGAGCTAAAATAATTTATAGGACTTTTGATCAGCTTTTCCTCTGGGAGAAGATCCATTTCCTAGATCATGTTAACTGTGATCCAACAGTTAGTCAGTATTGTAAAGCTATGCAGTTACTTCATTATGTCAACGAGGTTTTTAACTTTATTTTCAGCTTTGTTGGAAAAAAAAAAGCAATTGCAGTTTTAGTTTAATGATGAA